TATCTATTTTTCATACCGCTAAAGTGATTAGGGAGTCCCTACCCAGTAAAAATATCCTTAGTGCTTAACAAAAAATTTTTTATTTTTTTGACATAAATTTTGTTTATATTTTTGAAAAAGAAAAATTTTTTCTTAATATTTTATGTAACTACGCCAACAAGTACATCGAGCATTTACATCGACTTCGTTCTTCGTCTTCGGCTTGCATGGCAGATGGAAAATGTACTAAAAATTTTTCTAAAGATTTCACTAATGATACTATAACAAATACCGACGGATATCCAATATATCGTCGAAGAAATCCCGATAATGGGGGACAATGGCGGGTGGTAACGTATTCGCCTCTGCTAAGCAAGACATACAATGCTCATATTAATGTTGAGTTTTGCAGTTCTGTGAAGAGCATCAAATATATAAGTATGTCCATAAAGGCAGTGATATGGCTGTGTTTAGAGTAGAAAATACTAATGTAAATGCTCCTCCAATGAACAAAAACGGTGAAATTACGCTCTACCAAATTGGTCGGTACATCACCTCCAATGAAGCTGCTTGGCGTATCTTCGGCTTTCTAATTCATGAACGGGATCCAGCAGCTGTTCAGGTAGCCGTCCATCTTGAAAATGGTCAGCGTGTATTTTTCACGAACGAGACAGTGATTGATCGTGGTACAAATCCACCTAAATCTGCACTCACTGCATTTTTTGAATTGTTTAATAGTACGGATGATTTTGGTGCCTTTGCAAAAACATTACTCTATTCACAAGTACCACGCTATTTCACATGGCCTTAAACAAAAAAATGGATGCCCCGCAAGCAAGTTTCACCAGTTGATGCATGTCTCAATTTATTTAAATCGAACGCTTATTTACAGATAATCCAAGACACACTGAGTGCTTTTATCTTCGACTGTTGTTGGTTAACGTTACTGGCCCATTATCATTATTATTATTTAGAGTCAATCCAAGACAATTTAAATTTGAAGATACAACAGTTGTTGCCAGGGAACTTGGTATCATACAAATCTATTGATTTTAAATTAATAATTTAATAAATAAACTATAATAACTTAAAAATATTGTTTGGCGTTTGTTATTTTTATTTTCCTTTTCGTTCATAGCGCTCCATGCCTATTTCATGCATATACCACAGACTTACTTTTTGTCTACACTAGAATTTATCTAGAAACTAGAAATAATTTATAAGGCAAAACAACGTTTGTCGGGTTATCTAGTAATATATAATATCCAAGATATTGAAAATGTTGTATTCTTTCTATAGCACAATTGTTAATCATTTTGAAGAATTGTGTTGCTGTAGATGTTTTTTCGGCTTACAATCATATAGTTTGTTTTATTAAATTTTACTCGTAGCCCATATTGCTCGCTTGTGGGTTAATAAGGGTTAACACCTATCTAAAAAGTCTCCAAAAATCTCGATTTTCCTGATTAGGAATGAGTAAAAATTCCATACAATTTTAGTTTGGCATTTAATTTGGTAGACAAATTCAACGAATTATATATACATATATTGTATAAATATATATTGTATATATGTATATTGTGAAATAGTCAGTGACGAAATATTGTCATTCGTTATACGTGCTGCATGTTCATGAACTCCAATGCTATTTCTTTTTAGTTCCTTTTAAGTTAGAAAAATAATTTTTCAAGGATTGCAACTATAAAATAACTTATTCAAAACATTCCTCAGATATGCTAGGCTAATGATTTTACTGTCCAAAAAAAATAAATAAAAAAAATGGCAATGTAAGACATTTTAAAAACAATATTTTTTCCAAACTCTGCTATTTACAAGTCTTCTAACATTGACCGAATAGATGACTTTTTGTTATCCCTACCGCGAAAATGCGTTCCCAACCGTTATAATCTTCCCACTTATAGCTTTGAGCCTACTCAATTTCATATCGGCGTACCTAATATTTACAGGGTGATACACTTTACAATCATAGTAGCAACAAACACAAGAGTAAACTCTTGCACAGAGTTTGCTACTAGTCAGTAATTACTTCCTAGTACTTTTTACCATTTTGGCTTAGATATATTTGTTGTCTAAATAGAAAGCCTTCTGCTGTATGTAATGTCAATTTTTTCCATGATTACTGAAATATGGTATCAGCTTTTGACCATCCAGATGCAATCGGTGATATTTGTCCATTTCGCATTCCTAATATGTCATTTTAGTAGGTTCACTAAACTACTTTCCAGCTACTAGAAAAAACAATATCCATATTAAAAATGTCCCATAAAATTCGAACATTGAAGAAAAATTTTTCATGTATGTGATCTGGCTCTCTACATAACCTGCCTTTTGGTCATGACCGAAGAGTGTAAAATTAGGGGACCATTCATCATGTGACTCAAATTTTTTCACCAGTAAGAATCAGAAATTTTATGAACGTAAAACTATGTTCTGCCAAAAACATGGCCATATAATAATTTTTTTTTAAATTTGATAAAAAATTATAAATCCATTGAAGGATTCATCTACATTAAATTTGCAATTTTACTTACCAGTATTTATCTGTAGAACAAAAAAAGAACATTTCACATAAGGAATTACTTTAATAATTTTTAAAAATTAGTGTAAAAATGTTTGGTTATAAAAAAAATCTATGAATACAAGTGCCTTATAATTGACTTCTTTTAAAAAAAGAATGCATATTATTACAGAAATACTGTCATAATTTTGAACCAATTGATTTATCTTTTCGATTATCGATTATCTATTATCGATTATCAATGTATCGATTTTCACGATATTCGGTATTTTAAGCTCTACTTTCTAAACAGAAGAAAGAAATGAACGTCGAGACAAACAAATCACTACACACAATTGATTACGATTCAAATATGTATCTTTGCCTTTTAGACCAAAGTTTTTCGATTTACAAGAATAATACGTAGACTCCTGCATACATCTCACGTCAACACTTTAACCAATTAAAGAGGAGGCACTTTTCCGTCCTGTCGTTTTAGTTTTCTCGTTATCACTTCACAGTGTTACATATGACAGTTGTGTTTTTATGCAGATCAATTCCACAATGTCACTTGCACTGGATTCTTATTTGGCTTTTGCTAGGTAAAGAAATTTAGACAACCTTGGGGAATCACATATCCCTTTTGCTATAATAAGTCTAGAGTGCAACACATAATAAATTTTCCCTTGTGTTTTCACTATTTAAGTCCTTTAAAGTGAATTGCTACTTATAATAACCTATAACCTATACTCCTATTATTGCTTTCACTCTTCAACGTCACTAAACTCGCCTGCTATAAGATTTGAAATTTAGCTTGTGTTTTAAGACATCCTACTATTCTACTTGCACTTTCTCTTTTAGTTTTATCGCTTTATATTCATTAAAAAGTACCATACGTACCATACAACGTTAACTTTTTCTTGATCTGTCTTATCTCTAAAGTAGTCTACGGTGCAATCTGTACTTTTAATTCCGTTCTTTTTTCGATAGACATCATTAAGGCAGTCCACAATATGGCTTGAATACTTGCTTCCGCGATTTACAAATAACGTATTTCTTTTAAAACCGTATAACATCGTTCGGGCTTTTTATTATTTAACAGCCCTCGGGTAGTCTATTGGCACAACTTGAACTTTTATTTCTGTTGACAATAGAGCAAAACAATGTGTTACATTATCAGAAATTTCAGCCTCTACTTCTGTTAAGGAGCATGCTCTAGGTTGTTTGTCCTTAATTATTGCTTTTGCCATATAACTTCTCTAATCTATCAATAATTTTCTTTTCGTATTCATTTCCATATAACACCATTAGTGCTGGAGTCATACAATCTGGAAAGTCATCTTTCGATGATTTGCTACCCCAATATCTTTTATACACCGTAAATAGTTTTTGTGGTAATCTACACTTTCACATCTGGTTGCATATAACAACCTTAAAGTCATTAAACCCATATGTCATATAAGAGACATAAGTTATAAAACCTAGGCTTTTGCTTTCCCTTACATAACATCATTAAGGTGATCTGCTTAAATGTCTGGGATTTCCGAATCAGTCACATCATACAAAATGCTTAAAACGGTCGGCAATCTGAGCTGCTTTAATGGCTTACATTTTCGATTTTTTAATCAATTGTTTGACTTCAATAATTTATTAATTATTGAATTATTAAATTCATGTACATGTATATTACAAATATTTAGGATCTTATATATCTTACTTATACATACAATTTATTTTTAATAAATGTCTATTGGGTATTACAAGTTAACAATTGAACTCATAACTGGCTTAGAGTGAGAACATAAAGAACGTGCGTTTGTGGTGAAATCAATTAAAAAATATTGCACTTGATGTCAGCACCAGTTAATGCTGGCACTGCGAACAAAGAGAGCATATTAAATATGGCAATAAGATCACCACCAGTGAACCACCATCAAACACTCAATTTCGACGCTGACAAACACATGATTCTATATTCTTGCACTTTTGTCAACTAGTTCGAGTTGGTATGATCGAGCAAGCAATAAGCATTATCTGTGTGCGATTGCATTGTTATAAGAGGAATATATTGTGCATGTTGGTACGTCCTAGCCAGCTCCGAAAACAAGCGTTCTCTGTGTTTCACCACTATCTTTAAAAGTTATATCGAAAGACGATTGTTTTCTTAGTTTGATAATAGTTCATTAGTAGATACTAACTTAAGTTTACTTATAACTAAGAATGTTACAATTTTACACTTAATATCATATCAGGATTTTCACTTAAATGTGAACTCTTAATTTAAATTAAATTAAATTAAATTAAATTAAATTAAATTACAATATTGTTATTATAAAAATATGACATTTAATTTTCGTAAGAGTTGATGACATATTTTTTTAAATAGAGCCATTCGTAATCAAATATACGAACATATCCTATTTATAGTATTTAAATTTTGTTTTAATTATAAGCAGCCTGAATAAATTTAAAAATTTTAAATTAAATTAAAACTTTAGTTTTAAAAACATATGGTTTTTTTTAAAAGTTTCTTTTATAAATCGAATTTGGTTATAGCAACAATGAGAGTAAAACTTTGTGGCTTAAACTTTCATATTTAAAATGATGTAAAAAATTTCATTTAAAACTAAAAAAAAATTTTACTGTGGTTCTGCACTTAAAATTTGTTGACTAATTGATAACGCCCGTCATGGCTCTATCAAGCATTTGACTTAACCCAATAGGCCTCCAACTGCTTTGTGTATTTTCACTGATCATACAAATGTTTCGATCAATGTAGCAATAAAGTTTTCCGACGCGGTAAATCTATAGGAGTTAAAGATAAAAATTAACTTCAATATTGATTTCAACTTTCAATAAACACTGTGCAGCTTACCTGTTTTCCTAATTCGCGTCTACCAGGTAGTGGAGCAAACAGGATACCAAGCTCTGCACACTTTTGTGAAACGACCTGTTTAAACTCAAGCTGTATAGGTTTTGTTATTTGTATGTCCATTAGAGCCGGTGGAGGAGGTGCTTGTGCTGGCGGTTGTGCAGATTTTGACTCAAACGATGTGAGCTTGTCAGTGTTATCTGTTGCACGATGCATTACTTCAAGAGCACGACGGAATATGTCTTTGATATTTGGTTCGTTTAGAAATTCTGCTGGGAACATAGACTTCCAGCCAGCGTACCAACGAGTCACTTCAATATAATTTGGTGATTGATTAAGCCATATAATTAGCATCTGCATCCATTTCGGGAAGAAAGACTTCTCCAACAACTGCGTCATTACCTTTAGAGGAAGTACTTCATACCATTCCCAAACCGTGTACCACATATCTGTAAATTGAATTGATTGATTATATACTATAGCTAAGTCTGATTTTGTTTATTAAACTAACCTAACTTTTGATCAAGTGGATTAATGATTAGCTCACTAAGCACCATTTGCAGTTTAGGCACAATATGTTTTACAAGAAACTCTTGCATCTCTGATACATTGAACACACCTTTCCATGGTAATAGCATAGCACGTGCCGAACGGTCATGTGGCATCCAACCATGTAAAGCAAATCCTAATTTCTCACGAATTGTTGGATACACAGACTCTTCCATTCTAAAACCTAAAACATTATGCCAGGGTAAAATCCATATATGTATGGGTACTGTGTCAGTAAGTGGATCCCACTCACGAATGGACCGGGTGAGTCTTGGTAGTACTAACTGCTCTAAAACCGAGTCCAAAATCCAACTAGGAAATAATGGTGCCCAAGCATCTAACAAAGCAGCCATTGGTTGATATTGTTTTGGATTCCAGTTGCCAGCACATGCGCGGAAACTTGGTATAACACCAACCCATATAATGGAAGAATAAGGATCAAAAATATTTCGAGCCAAGACTTCATTTTCGTCTTTTACTTCCAATATAGTACTCCATTTCTTTATCAGGTCGATATATTGTGTAGGTTGTTCTAGTGGTTGCCACGCATCCAAATGCCGTTTTAGAAGCGGACCAACCACACCAGCTGCTAAATCAGCCAATTTAAATTCCTTATACTCGGTACCAAACACCTGTTGTAGCTTTATAAATAAATGCTCAGTGCGTTCTATGGTTAAATCAGAGTCATCAATAACCAATTCATACACCAGACTTGACACATTTTCCAACGTGCTTATGTAATTGTATTCGCGTTCCATAATCTCTCTTAACGATTTTAACTGATACTCGTAGTACGACTCATTGTCCGCTGCTGTACGCAATGATGTATGGGTTGCTATAATTTGTTGTTCGCATAAGTCAACAATTAATTGCAAATTATGTTTGAGTTCTGGCATATCAAAAACATTAGATGCCTGTGAGGCTAATTTATTTTTCAAATCAGTTTTAACTTCATAGATATCTTCGTCCATCACACGCGTATGTGCCAAGGCATGATAACCACTCAGTACGCGTCTTTCGGGACCAGTCATGTCAATCACAGGAACATTGCCTAACTGTTTACTGAAAAATTAATAAACAAATAAAAAACGTCAATTAAGTATTAAAGCAGTTTAGTTCAGAATGACTTGATTACCACAACACACAACAACGCCATAAAATCGCTTTGATGCTTATTTAAGTTGCATATACTCGTGTGCAAAGGCATTTGATGAGGTGTGACATAATAGTTTAAGCGTTAAACTAAAAAATTGTGATATTCCAGTTTAAATGATAAAATTTATGGCTATTTTTTTATAAAATAGAGAGTTCCTTATCAGAGCCCAAAACCTATTTTCATCTATAAAAAAATTGAAGCAGGCATCCCTCCAGGAACCCCATTGTCTCCTTTATTGTATAATTTTTATGCAGCAGAATTTTCCTTGGATTCTATGAACAGAATTTCTTTGGCATTTTGCAATATGCATACAGACAAAATGCTAATTCTGTTGTGAACAATTTAAAACTTCATATTGGTAAAATAATGAGTTACTTCCAAATGTGGAGAATTAGAGCAAATAGTGAAAAAGCGAAAACTATTTTCATTACAAGATGTTGAAATCAGAGTCAAAGGAAAAAGTCTATAATGTGTAGATAGAATTACAAGAAAATGTAAAATACCTGGGTCTAACTTTTAACAGAAGATACACTTGTCTACAGAATATAATGGTCAAAAAAGTGGCTTTAAATGACTTTATAACTTTAAATGATTTGAAACCATTGATACAAGGCAAGTTAAGTGTGAGAAACAAAATTATGTTCAATAAGCAAGTAATTAGACCTAAATTACTATATGGATGTGTTTTTTATGGTAATGTTGATTCATTCACCAAACAAAGAAGAAAGATTACTCAGATACTAAAATCAAAAGTGATTTGTAATTACCTTAGCTTATCCGGCATATTGTTTTTAGAGTTCTTGCCTCTTTCAATTATTTCTTCAGCAGTTTTAAAGCAGTGATAGTTTTGATTACGATGTCCTCCATCCGTACCCTTTTTCCATTTGTTAATCTTTTGCTTATTGTGTTTAGACTCACGCACATTTTCATTTTTAATTGATTCCTTTTAAGAGCAAAAATACAAACTTTCAATCCCAATTTTATTGCTTTTAAACAAATTAAAATATTACCGGTCTTTCACTAACACTAGTTTTCATTTCTGGACCATAAGCACCAATAGCACCACGTCCCTTACGTACAAAAGCCTCTACCGGTTGTGAAATACCTTGCAAGTCTTTACCCAAACCTTTGCCAGGCTCATAGCCCATCTGCAAAAGTAACTTTGCACCAATACCGCGAGTGTGTTGTTCCCAAGCGCCAACGCGACCAGTTGATTTGCGTTCATAATTTTTCTTTAGCACTTGCGACGCATAGATTTCACCATCCGACGACTCATTACTGCTATTAGCAGTACCCATTAGCTGCCCTGACTTATTTCCAAATGTGGGACGCTCGTACTCATCATCAGATATTTGATCATCTTCCGGTTCTTCAACATTTTTATTCTTTTTACCAGACTGTTGCACGCCACCAGCTACAAAGCTAACTGGTGCAGTGTAGTCCTTTGCGTTTCCACCACGGTTATTACGGCGACCACGACTTAGGTGATAATCATCGTTGTCGCTATCATCCGCAAATATGCCTACGAATAAAAGTAGAACGTGTTTTCGTAAAATTAAATACCAAAATGCCATCAATTTACCATAAATTTGTTGTTTCTTTGACAATTTGCGGCGCGGGCGATTCGGATTAAATTCATTGTCTAAATCGTAATCCGTAATTTCAAAGCGTTCAAAACCATCATCTGACATACCACCGATATTTTTATTATTTTCTAATCTAATTTTCTAACAAGTAACGAAAGTATTAATATACACCGTCCAATGCAGAAATATACATTATTGAAATTATGACAGTTTGATTTGAAACTAAACTAAGCAAACATATGGTAAATAAATGACATTCTATACAGGGTTGCATATATTTAGTACTATTTTAATACTTTTGTGGAAGCTGTGCGGAACCAGCCACAAAATACACAGACGGATGAAATTCAATTAATAAGTCTGTTCCATGAGCTACTCGTAATAACTTCGAAACTCTGTGTATACGCAAGTGCATTCTACCAGCAAATTTTCGCGCAAAGGCTCTGTTAATTAGCACGTACCGTAAGAACTTAAGCAAAGCGAAATGCATATAATTGATAAGAACAAAATAAACAAAGTTCTCCGCTCTACTGTACGCAAAGACATTTTTTCAATCACCTGGACACCAATGTCATTAGCAAATTTTTATTAATAATAGTTCCATTAAATGATTTTCGAATTTCTTCCTCATTTAGCACGGGTTGAAACTTGTAAATAAAATTAATCAATAAATAGAACTAATTCCAAATACTAAATTCTGAAATAATATAATGCACTAAATCATTCTATATTAAGTAAAATTCTATATCAATCATCTTAATTAGTTAAATTACTCTGTGCTGAGGCTCAGTTAGACGGTAGGTAACGCAAGAAATTAAGGAGAAACGAAATGAAAATTTCGCTCTAAATTAAGGCTGTTAGTCGCTACGTGAGCAGGTGATTATGTTTACATTTGAACACGTAAACAAAATATTTTCAAAATGTGTACGTAAATCAATTGTGAAATTGTTTTATTTAAAATATTTTTAAATTGAAAAGAAAAAAAACTGTTTATCATTTATGTATGCATTTTTATTCTATTCTAGTATTTTAATTATGTATATTATAAGCTAGAAAAGAATCAACAACTGTAAACATCAAAAATTTCAATCGGTAATTATTTGTCCTCAAGTGCAGAGAATTCCTATACTATTATTGCACGAAATTCAGTTAATTTTATTACTTTTTATTTTGTTTTACATAAAAGCAAGGAGCTGCCAGGAAAAAATGAAAAAAGTAAATCTGAAATTCATTTAAAGACTTACTGTTTTTTACTATATTATTTTCATCAATTTTTTTTATTTATTATATAATCGAAATTTCGAACAACTCAAATTTCGAAGACGAATTATATATTCGATTTGACTAATTATTATGGGGGTATTCTGGATGTTTGTTCATCATTGCATACTCAAATAATCGTGAACACACTTTGTGCCAGTGACGATTGCTCTAAGGTGCGGAGGTGTGCGGTGAACACCCTAACATAATTTCCAAAATGTCAAATAACATTGAAATATAAATTTATTAAGTATCTTCACATCAAGAATTATTATTATTTATTACATTTCCATATATATTTTTTTAAAGTTTTAGCAAAAACAATTAAATATAATTGTCTATGAAAAACTCAATCAATTTGCTTCTGTTAGCTGCTATACTTGTTAGTTGTGCTCATATATTTGCAGCTCAAATCACAGAACATTTCTATTTTATTTCGTCTCTCCCCTTTGTGTGCAAAGAAGTTGGCCACACATTCATACGTTGCATATGAACAAAATAATGTGCGTGTGCTCCCATTCGTAATATCAGAGATAGAGATTTATATAGTGGGAATTGTATGAGAGTAAATTTTTGTTGTATTCGAATATCAACTGCATGCATACGAATCCAACATGATGATTTGCCAAAGTGGTTGCGTGAGCGGTTGAAGTTTGCAGCTCATCTCAGCATACATTTCTATCACATTTCGTCTCTCCCCTTTTAACAGTAGCACCCACAAATTTCTGTTCTTACTGTGCGGAGTACTTGTGCGCACACTTGTACGTTGCAAGTGGGTTTGATTTTGTTTGATCACTGGATAAACATGTATGGTTCTCAGTTAAAACTCTTTTGTTTGAAAAAAGTTGGTTTGATGTTACGAGAATTATGTAAAAAGTTTTGTTTCTTCCATATTGATATAATATTAAATTTATATATAAATTATTAATTTAATTTGTTTAATATGTTCTTTTGTTAATGAATTGTTAATATAATATTGCGACTATATTATTGCCTTATATAATATAGTTATTATTAATAAAAGATCTCATATATTTTAATATAATTGGTACATGTAAAAACAACATTAAAGAAGGGCCGCACACCCTTCCAGATAGGGCACGCGTCGTCACTGCTTTGTGCATATTAGTCTTGAAAGTATTAGAACAGCTGTTTTTTGTTTACGTATTTATTTTTTTGATAGCTCGTTATTGGACTTCATAACTGATCCACTTTTTGTTGCCACATTTCCGAATATTTTGGGGCTGCAGTTCCGACATTGTTGGACGTATAATAAATACAAAATCAAATAATTGCATAAAATCACAATATTACAACATGACAAAATCAAAAAGAACTTAACAGTTTCGCCAAAGTATTGCCCAGCGAACAGTAAAAAAAATATTGCCATTCACAATAGAGTCTTGAAAATCAAATACGCAGGAGGTAATTGGTGTTGAAAATATGGTCTTGAATATTGCCTTATAAGTCAAGTGGCGAATTATAAGAGAGGAAATTGTTTTTGTAAAATTAAATAATTTTGCACATGCAACGATACACAGACATCCTGAATACCCCTTGTATGTTTTATTGTGCATGGAAAATTTGGAAAAACAGATTCGTGTACTTATACTGCAATCCTACGTATATTTAAACATAAAGTTATAAAAATAGCTTTGCGGTGCAAGATGATTTGATGTAGTTAATTAATTAATTAAAATGAATATTTTAAATCAATGTATAGTTTATACGTAATAAAATTATTATTAATTTTGCACATAAAATCTACTACTAATAATTTTCTAAATCCTGGTGTATTCAACCAGTCGTTGAATACTAATTTTACCTACAAGTTGCAACCATGCCGCGGTTGTGAATTCGCCGCTAAATGCGTAGTTTTGACGTTTAACATATCAACCTCCGAACATTCTGTGTTTGTTTGCCTTTGTAATTGCACGTTTGATCGGAGCGAGTTTTGTTATTTCTAATAATTTAAAGTGCGAGTTATACAAAAACAAATCAGAAATCTGTAATTATATACATGTAATCAAGATATAGTAAATTGCTTTTAAATAATTTTTCTAAACAAAGTTATAATTTCATACATAATTATGTACTAATATCGCTCTTATTTATCTGCGTGTGCTTCGACGTGCCGAAATCAGCTGAAGGAGTTCAAACTAAAATTTAAAATAATTGACAAAGATTTTAACAAAATTTTTATACGAATAAAAAAAACGGCTACTAAGTTAAAATAACTTCTGTGCTATTGCGACAAGTAAATGTAAACAAAAACGAATCAAACACGTGCTGAGATTTGTGTTCATTTTATTATTAACGACAAATTTACTGTGGGCAGTGACGCGTTTTTTGTTGGGAAATACGTGTGAAGGATTCATCCGAAATGGTTCAGGTGAGCGCCAACTGCAAAGAATTTGATTGTGATGTTTAATTTCAAAATCAAAGAACAAAATTAATTGGCAGTCTTTGTTTCTGATTTGCCGGTCATTAATTAATGGTTTACCAATGTCGTGAAGGTTTACGGATGATGTTTTAATTCTAATTCAAAACTTATTTCACTTACAAAGGAATAGTTTTCCAATTCCAATTCTATATTTTAAATTTACAATAAATTACTTTCCTTCAGATAAAGAGTATTTGAAATTCGCACAACCAGTTATAAGTGAATAAAAAAGTATAGTGCAATTGGCATTCAAATTAAAGAGCAATTGGTTCTTTAATATTCGAAACTAATTCCTGACCACAATTGGTAGTCACCTAGTGACACCCCAACTTAGCTACTATGCCATACTGGTTCTAAGAACGGCCCGGTTTACGTCCCGAGACCACTCGTTGACTACTGTTAGATAACCCAGGACTACAGATGGTGCCAGCGGGTTAAAGCAACAATAACAACAACTACGCCATACTAACGTAACAACTTTCCATAATAGTAAAAGATCAACTTTCTTAATAAAATTAAGAATATTATTTTTTGTAAATCCTCCAAAAATTAAATCTTAATAAATGTTTATTTTCAAGATCATCCATATTTCTTACAATGATATCAGAGATATTATTGTTCCCAAAGCTAATCTATAGAGTACATTCGTATAAAACGAGCAGACGCCTTACTGTTTGTTTTACGGAACTTGCAGGTGCCAGAAATTCTATTTTTGAAAGGTGGTGGTCTAATTTAATATTAAAGTGTCACCTTAAACTATCAAAAATATTCGTCTTCTCTCATCCGACGTTATGAAACTAGTGATTAATCTCAGTTTATATTTATTAAGAGTGAGAAATCTATCAACATTTTTGTTTTTTCTTGAATGAGTTTCTGTTTAAGGTTTCAATGTGCGTATGTAGAATTATAAATAGATATTGTAGAGAAATATTTGACTTCTATGAAGGAAGTTGTTACATTAGCATAGAATAGAATAGAATAGAATTCGCTGCGACTAGGTATATTAACTGGTGTTACTTTGTTAGTATTAGCCATCTTAGGTATAAAATAATTATAATTTCAAACCAATTTGTATGTATTGATTGGTTCAGTTCAAAAAAATTTTATAGCTGTCTGGATATATGAATGTATAATAACGCGGGCGTATCTTTTCTCAAAACATTCTATTTCAATGGTATGCACTTTTGCTCAAAAACTGTGGGAAAATATCCTATTGAAATGAAAAGGTGGAGTTTTGGTTTATGTACGTCACAAAAATTTATAATAATGATAAATTATATTATAGTTTTTTTATATATTAAACTAAATTTACAATCTATCAACAAGAGGTATTTACGATATGAGTTTAGTGATACTCCAATGGTACTTATAATAGAATTATGAAGACCGTGAAATGTAGTATAATAATATAATGTTTTCTTTTAGAGTAGAAAAAAAATACTCGCAATTTACTAAAGAAAACATGTGAAGCAACAACAATACTCTTAAAATATTCAGAGTTAGGTTTTACTCGCAAAATATTAACGTTTTAATGCAGCCAAATTCAAGAATCAATCTATTGTAAATGTCCTCCGTTAAAATCATATGAGCATTTCGTTTACTGATAAATTCAAATACATAAATAAATTAATTTAAATATATAAGATAAATATACCTTTCTGATATTCATTTTGTATTCTTTTATTTTAATTTATTAATTTTTAGTGTTTAAATTTTTATATTTCATATTGTACACAACACAACAAAAAACATATGTCAAAAGTATTTAACCTATTTTCAAAGTGATGCCAATTTCTTTCAAGTAGACTTAATGCTGTTCTTTCACAACTGTGAAAGAAAAAATTACGACTAATATATGATACTATGTGAAATATTCATTTTTAAAGGTATAATAAGCATAGTATGCATTAGGAATCACATTTTTATTATAATATCGTTGGCACTATATATTGTAAGGGTGATTCAGTGCATCATATCTTTTAAGTTTTTTCGTTTTTTTTTTTTTGGAACGCTCTAGTTAACATATATCTGTTGAATTTGCATAGTTGTTGTTTAAGCAAATAGCTTTATAAATGCTAAGTTAGTCTTATAGACTGGGCTGAGATTCATATCTGAAGAATCATTACATCTTAGATCCATCATTGAATAATAACGAGGATTGTGACGATTGCTCAAATTAGTCAGTGAGATGGATGGGACTCTGCAGAAACCCTCCAGCCAACCTAGAGTAAAAGTGTCCAGATACACTAACTCGGAAAAGGCTCAATATAAAACATAAAACAAATAATATATATAAGGTGATCTGATTGTCTAGAATTTAAGTTAGGACAGCTTTCATGTAGTTGCTTTTGAACCTTTGATCAATTGCAACTGCAATTAAAGCCTTTCTAATAAAAAATAAGGTTAATTTGAAATTTTTTATATTTTAAGGAACTACTGCTACAATTATATTAGAAAATTCTTCTAAAATCCCCTAAAATCTTTTCTTAAATTCTAAATTCTTTTCTTAATCTATAAAAAACGGATTAGTGTTCTCTGAAATTATGTTATAGAGAATTTTAATTGTCCTAAACTTTTCACCACAGTTTGACTACTAAGCCTTTGAATGAATGGTAACTGGTTAATCAAGAGCGGAATCTTCTGAAATTTATTGACATAATTTACGATTATCCAAGTCGAGATAGTAAATAGCAGTATCAAATTCACAAACAAAGGTGTATGGAATAAATTATTTAAATTAATAATTTAATTAATTATTTAAATAAATTATTTAAATTTAAGTTAAATGCTTTTGTATAAAAACTTAAAAAATTTGAAGGAGTTGAAATGAAATACTCAAATATATATAATAAATAAGTACCATACCCTACATTTTTCCCCCTGCCCTTTAACATGTAGGTTTAACAGTCTGTCTGCTTTTGTTTTGGTAATTTTTAACTTCTTCGCCTTAAATTTGAACTTTGACTTATTTTTTTTTTTGCAGACTTTGCTGTTGTTACAACTGTTATAATATAAGCACTATCAACACAGTACTGGAAAATTTTTTCCTCCACATTTTCCACTCTTCATCCCCCTTTTTTAAACGTTGTTGCGAAGTGCATTGTTTGTGTTTACGGCCTGAGCTATTGCTATTTTTTGACTGTCCCAATTTGGAATTTTCTTAAATCCACCCCTGTTTTTAAAAAAGAAATTCTAAGATTTTTTTTCTTCTTACTTTAAATTGTTTCCTAAATATCAATAAGCTGGACATTACAAAGGTCGCTACATATATCCAATTCTTACATGTTATTAACAGACATAGTTTTATCAATGAAAAGAATGGCTTGGTTTGGAATTTCCCAAACTTAATTTTTACTCTGTCTAATGCGTTATTCTATTAGTTCCAATACATATGTCCGACTATTTCTTGAATCCTAAGCTTTTCTGTCCACTAATACAGTAACATTAGAGTGTGTTTTTTATGCTTGAAATCTTTTAATCAAAAAGAATACAAGAAAAGCAATTGGGGCGCAATGTTCAAGTTTTAAAATAAGCTTCATATGGATATCATTTCTTCTCTTTAAATAAAGGTCAGAGGGAGTATACGCTTTCTGTAACAAAAAAATTTTGCTGTAGTTTTTACATATATAATATACATATACATTAGGGTGGCCGTAATATGTATGGGGGCAAAAAAAAGTGTTCGAATTCTAGATGCCACCCCCTAAATTTATTCGAATACTCAAAAAACTACTAAATGTGAAGTTTTAGACTAATCGGATAATGTTTAGAGGTCGCTCATCGACCTTAAACTTCGAAAAAATGCCATTTTTTCACTTTTTTCAAATTTCTTCGCTTCCATCTCGCGTATTTTTCATCTTTGACTATTTGTACCAAATTAATATTATTCTTTAACATATTAGCTTTCAAATAAGGTAAAAATCAATCAATTTCGTCCACAATTAACTAAATTATTACTAAAATAAGAAATCATAGTCGACGTTTATTGAAGCTTTCAAGAGCAGCATAAATATGGGAGTAAATACGAGTACGTATGAGCGAAAGTACAGTTTCTTGGACACAAAATGGTACAGTATAATATTTGAAGACAATGAAATACTTCCTCACTATATATAATTATCCACACTTGATTTGAATAATATGCACAAAATAGATTAATAAATATAATAAAAGGAAAGGAGTCCTTAAGTAATTTATTTATAAGAAATATTAAATTTATTTATTTTTTGACGAAACTGTTTTTGTATACTTTTTAAAAGTCTTTTTATAATCTGTTATTACTTGCAATAAATATTGTTTATCTTGCTCATTTTTACCAAGGACTCTAATAAATTCTTCGAAAAGTTTTACTCCTCGCTCTGCCGTATCATTAACAGGTCTCATTAACTGTGAACAATTTTTAACGCGTGTACATAATCTGTATGTTGGTTCCATTTTTCTGGTTCTAGGTTCAAGAAATCTGTAATCTAAAAAAGTTAATGGTATTGTCTGTCACAAAATCCTCTAGTGATTTCGATAAAAAATCGGTTACATTCTCAGTCTTCAAAAGAATTCGTTTTTCAACGTCTTTTTTAATATCGTCCACATTATCGTGGCTTTCATTGTTATCACCACTATCTACTTCAACATTCATTGATATAATTTTTTTTAACTTATCTGCCATTCTTTTTTTAATTTTAATTGGAATGTTGTCATCAAAAAATGATAGACCAATGCATTCATCGCATAAATACCATAAATGGTTACACTTCTTCTTAATATCAGCCTCAGATATTGTCTTATCAATACATCTATAATTATACATTTCTTTTATAAAACAAAAATCATGGTAAGCTGCTTCTGATGCTATAACACATTTGAACCAATATTTTACGTAAACATGTATTATGAACAAACAGATTTCTTTTAGCTTTTGCTCTTCGAAAGATGACAATGTGAACTCATTTCGA